ACCCAATACAAAGTTTGAGGTGAATCATAAAAATTAAGGTGGCAGTTAGGCAGCAAACTCAATAGACGGCAGGACATCTTCAATGAAAGAATCAGACAAATCTTAACAGCGAGATGAAGACGCTACACAAACACTCATTTTACGACAAGTTGACTACGGCATCACAAACCGTGTATTATAGAGAAGAGGGCCCCGAGGACCTGGGTAGACAAGTGAAAAACATCTCGTTTAAAAATACCACTGTGTGTGCATTAGACTATCTGACTGCCAAAAATCTTCACGCTCATCTGCAAAAACTTAGAGTGTATGTTGTTTCTTGCTTTAGTAACCACTCCTCACCAGCCTCAGTTCTTACACCTAGACATACAATTATTTCATTAACATATAATTATACTAACATTAAAAAGCCAATTAATGCTCCATGCAGTGCAACTATGCTGTTAAGTTGATGCTTTTGCCTGTATCTTTCATAGACCAGTACTTTCGTGACAGCACTTCTAATCTCATTGAAAGTTTGTGCTGTTTGTGGTTCAAACATGAAGTTGACACATTTTAATCAAGAGATCCTTCAATGCAATTTTCCCCAATTCATGCTGAAATGTACAACACTTCTTCTAAGGAGCAATTCCTGAAATGGCTCACAATGACATCCCAAGGAAGTTTTGGTATTCCATGTCTCTCCATTTTTCTAACTCCTATATAATACCTAAATAATATAAACCTAATGTTCCCTCCTAGCCACAAGGAACACAAGAAGACAAGAGTAACTTCCAGCAAATACTTTCTGAAATTTCCCTAACTATTGTTTAAGCTTCCGTCCCCTCAACACATGTGAAATACAATCTTTTCTAACCAATTTTTGTTTCATCACAGAATAACTGAGAAGACCCAGAGGTATGACATGCTCCGATTTTTGTTATTTTACATTGAAAATTTAGCATCCATTGTTTTTTGTTTAGAAGGGCAAACACACCCACACCCCTAGATAAATCAGTTTTATACCACTGAAAGGTATAATTTTCATTAGGATAAGTTAGCCCCAATTGGTCTGCAGTATTTACCAAACAACAGCAGAAGGCTGTCTCAGAAGATTAATCCCGTTTGTTTTAAGACTGCCTTTTCTGTTCAATGCAGAATAAATGGTACTGATCAAACAGGTGAGTAAAACCTCAGACTTGGTATCGTGATTCCGTATGCAGTCTGGAGTTACACGTGTATTTTTCAACATGCCTTTTTAACATTCCTTCAATAAGCTGGCTGATTTCAGTGCTGGCTGAGCATCAACACCAATCGCTGCTAGATTTTTCACCTTGAAACACAGGAACATTTGCTTGCTATGGCAAAGAGGGAAGTTTTCCCATTGTTACCCACAGTGCAGATTTGGAATATGTACCAAAATATACCCCGGGGTGGGGTGCAGTGTGTGTGGGGGGTTGTTGTTTGTAAAATGTTGTAATTATCCAAACGAAAGGAAGGAATTATGGTCTTCCTGAATATAGCTACCTCTCTCCTACCAGTGCTGCCGGACCAGAATAAAAAAAAAAATTATTATTTGTTTTTTTTTACTGTTCTGTAATAAAACAATTCACAGAAGGCAAACATGAAATTTCTCTGAGGAAAATCCCTCCTCCTCCTCCCCCTCACAAGATCGTCATCCTAATCCTTCATCCCACTTGTGAACTGTTAAAAAAACCCCAAACACTGCTCTTCAAAACCCAAGCGCAATAGGGTAGCTTTCACCTTTGTTCTGCAACACACCTAGACCTTTAATACAAAGAGCAGCAACATGACTTTAGAGGCTCTTCTCTCACATTTACGTAACTGAACCTTCTTATTAGAGATGTTGCCTTCTTTCTTCGAAAGCAGAGAGTATTACCATCCCAGGGAACCACAAATGAAAGTATTTGATAATACTACAGCCCGCTTTTTGCAAGCATATGCGTTTATCCCAATACACAAGCTAAAACAACATGGGCAATTTCTTGTGTAACACTGGATGTGCTATATGCATCTTTAAACACACATTCCCCCCACCCCCCAAAACAGAAACACATCTCAAAGAAGTTATATGATCTCATTGCAGGAAAAATTACAATATCTTTATGTTGAAAATTATGTCACTTGAAAGAAGAATCACGCTTCTCCTATTTGGTGGCCACTAGTCACCTCTAGTGTTGTACAGCAAGGAAGATAGGAGTCATTTGTGAAGACACCAAAAAACCCCCAAAGTTTATTAAAAGTGCTGATGTCTTCTGAAAAATCACCAAAGCAAATGAAGCATGGTTCAGCTTCAAAAGGAATCAAATGGCCACCTTCTAATACACATGCACACATATATTAGATTTCATATACAAATAAACCCGCTTGTAGGTAACCACACAAATTAAGGGGAAAAATTTAGCCCCCTGGAAATAACAGGGCTAAAATTTTGCTTAAATGTATGCATGCATACACTACTATTTCAGTTGTGCCTCTTCACTACAGGTGTACAGATGAGACTAACTACAGCAAATACTGCATACTTACCATGCCATAGAATAAAATCAGAACATAAACAGCCTCATGAAAAGTGGTATCTTTCAAGAATATCAAAAAGATTAACACAGAATCATATCAAAAACCTGACTTTGCAAGTGATCTGGGGAGTAAGAAGAAACTGCTAGCATATTCATTCATTTCCTTAAACCCTGAATACTCGATAACCATCTCCAGAACCTAGTTCTGTAGGTGATAATTAAACTGTCTTGTTTTTACAGCTGCTTTCTTCTTGAATCGTTGAGCAATTCAAAGGAAATCAGAAAGCAAAATACCAAAACCTATGGCGAGTGCCCAAGTGTCTCGAGCTTCTTTGAAAACCTTAATGCAAGTGGCAGACGTCTTCTGTACTTCTTACTGTGCCTATTTCTTGTCTGCTAGTTTTGCCCAAAGAGTATTTTCTCTCAGTTGCTCCAATGACCTTTCTTTTCATACACCGATATTTGGGAGAGCAGTGAAGCCCATTTAGAAAGCTGCGGGAGGGCTGCAGGTTACACAGCCATGCTGTGCTGCCTATGGACTTCTGCACACCTGCCCCAGGAACAGCTAAAAAGTGGCTAATTTTGCACATTTTACTCTCCTCCTGTCAGACACGTTTTGTGGAACTGCTCCCCCCACACCATTATCCACCCGCTTAGTCTAATACAGGTTCCTCTATTACTGCAGGGGGCTGAAATGGAAAACTAACTACAATATCAGATCATATTTGAACTTACAAGAAAGTAACTTTGAACACAACACAACAGGTATTTCTATAGAGGAGGTGGATCAGACCCATCTAGAAATTTGGTAATACAACTAATAATGGAGCCACGTCCTCTTTTTGCAACTGAATTGCAACATGTTTATACCTACAGAGACTACTCAGAAATCAATCATCTCATCTCACTGTGAAAAATCTTTCAGTTCTGCATTCTAGGAAATGGGTATAAATTAACATGTACAGAAAAAAAACCCACACTTCACCAGGAATGTTCATATAAACTTCAAAAAATTTAAACTGCCTTAAAAAAGAAGTCTGGTTAAGCATTCCGTCTTTCAGTTAATTCAACACTCCTACAGGAAATACATCTACATTCACAAAATATAATCATTTTTGATTTCAAACACATATCACGCCTCACAGTACACACTGAGAAGAAAGAATTTGTGTATCCTAGTAAGCATCCACATTTATATACACTCACACACACCGGGTACTTTAAAATAAACAGCATTCATTTGAACAAAAATATACTTCCAACAACAGAATTTCTCTATTAAATCCATGTTTATTGCTTAAGTTTTATCACAGTGGAGATTAAATTATGCTTAATCATCCGGTCAGTGCTTTTGTACCTTCTTCAATGCCAAAAAAGCCATTTAAACCAAGTCATTCATACACTCGAAGTCTTATTACCATCCCACCATTCATCGCCTCTGTGTGCTCCTTTAGTTGCCGCAAACTGCAAGATTGTAAAAAGGTATAGCTAATAGGCTTATTTATAATACCATTTTCTTCAAGTATTCAGAAAGCAGTACAAGTAGCTGTACTGTATATTAGAAACATATCTGTACTGTTATTTATTGCTATAGGATAGAGGCTCCTGATGGAATGATAGTGAAATATTGCATCACCGTGTATGAAGATGATCTCAGCGTCCTGTAATCGTCACAACTCTTCCCATGTTAGTCAACAACACTAGGTAACTGGGTTTCTTCTCTTTCTCTTTCAGGCATGGGATTTCAAACTACAAATAAATAAAGCATACACTCACAACATGTGTAGTGCAAATTCCAAGTAAACAGAATGACGTGGAAATAAACTCATAGTTGCCAACTTCGGTTCGGCAGGGCAGTTATGATTTTTACGCCCGGCGCCCCGCGTCCCCACCCTCGGCGCACACCACCGCCAGCGTCCCGTGTCGGCGACAATGATTGAAAGAGATTGTTGCAGGGGAAGGGGGAGACGACCACCGCTGCAAACCCTCGCGCTCGCGGGTGGCCGGGCTTCACCCCACGCGTCCCGTCAGACCCGGGAAGGGAGGCTGGTCACCCGCCGGGAGAGCAGCCTCCCGTCCCGCGTCGGAAAATTCGTATTGGCAACTATGTGAGACATGGATTGCGTGGCCCAGACTAAGAGAAGGCAATATTTTTTTCCAGATACAACCACTGAAAGAGAACATCTACAACATTGCGATTTATAAAGAACTTAATAATAATGAGAATTAATAGGAAAGACATTCAACTGGGGGGGGGGGGGGGAGGGAGAAGGGGGGGGGGCTGTTGTTT